ACTCTACCCCTCTACCAAAGGGGACAAAATGAGACTCTGTCTCTAAAAAGAAAGAATATCTGAACTGCATTGGGTAACTGGTGATCACTCCCATGCACATGGTATTTGGAAATAAACATTTCTCTTACTAATCTGCCCTAATTGTGAGTTGATCTTTTAGTGAAATTTCAGAGCAAAGGGCAAGTTTCCCCTTGCTTCTACAATTCCAAAGTACCTACTTTCTTAACGAACTCACAGAGGTTGTATCAATACTGTGCTTGAAAACAACATTCCAGGAAGGTCAAGCTTAGCTCCATGAAAGAAGCAGAAGGAGGGAAGAGAATTCTATGGATTAAAAAAAGTCTAAAATGTTCTTCTTAGCAAAGTATCACAAGAATGGAAGAAAAGTATCCAATGTACACAGCCCTATTTTGAAACTAATTTATAGCTTTCATAGCAATGTTATAACCTAATTATAGCCTTAGAATATGAGAAGGGGGAGATGGGGGGAGGGAGGGTGATTGGTGGGGTCACCTCTATGGTTTATCCTATAAGGGTACAAGTGAATCTAAAAGCAGAGTATGAATGTCTTAACTCAGTAACTAAGAAAATGACATGAAGGCCACGTTAACTAGTTTGATGAGAGTATTTCAAAATGTATATGAAAACACCACACTGTACCCCATGATTGCATTAATGTACACAACTATGATTTAATAAAAAAAATTTTAAAAAGACTAAAATATTTGAAGCATTTTCTTCCAGCTGGAAGCTAATTTACCAAGCATGGTATGCTAGGGTTAAGGAACAATTTTCATTCACATTCAATTACTATCACTTGACCTTTATCAACAACCTGGTGCTGTACTGACCCATTTACTTCATAGAGAATCAGACTCAGGGAAGGCCAACAGCCTTTCCCCAGGTTCCTACCTGCTTACTACCTTGTGAAGGGAGGTGTAGGTCTACTCAGGACTTCTGACTCCAAGTTTTTGCTTTTTTTCTAGTGCCAGCTGTACTAAAATTGGAAGTAAATTTTATGTAAACTATTATTGTATACTTTACTATTATATATGTTATAAACCCCACCCTGCATAGCTATTTTTGTTCGATAGACAATTATCTTTTTTTTTTTTGAGACAGAGTCTGACTTTGTCACCCTTGGTAGAGTGCCATGGTGTCACAGCTCATAGCAACCTCAAACTCTGGGCTTAAGCGATCCTCTTGCCTCAGCTCCTGTGTAGCTGGGACCACAGGCACCCTCCACAATGCTCGCTTTTGCTCAGGCTGGTCTCAAACTCCTGAGCTTAAGCAATCCACCTGCCTCGGTCTCCCAGAACGCTAAAATTATAGGCATGAGTCACTGCACCAGGCATAGTCAATTATTTTTAGAAGAGATTTAAATAACAAGAAAAAAGGTAAATGGCATGAATGTATTTATGATCTATGTACAAATGATTTAATAAAAAAAAAAGAAAAGAAAAAAAAAAACTAAAGGGTAACCCCACCACTTCGGATACTCAAGGCTTCTTGAGTACACTCCCTAGGCCACAGTCGCGCAGAGTTGGCTCAGAATAAACCTCTTTATTTTACAGAGTCCCCCCCCCCACCCCGCATTAGCAGTGGGTCTCATTCTAGGAATAACAATGTGCAAAGGAATGTGCAATGACGCGGCTTCCCAACAACCCCTACTTTCTTCTTCTCAAGGAAAGTGGGTCAGTTTCCAGAAGCGCACAAACTAGAGCAAAAGTGGACTGTCTACACACAACTGTAATTTGTCAATTTACACCCCCCCATCCCCATTCCATTTTTTAAAAACGTGGAGCTGCAAATACTACCTAACAGCATCTGATGCCTAGGATTTTGTGAGAAATGCAAATTCTTGGGCTAACTCCCTGCCTACTGAACCAGGATCTGAAGGCGGGGCCCACCAATCTTTGCTGAACCAGTCCCCCGGGTGATTCTTAGACAAGCTAAAGTTTGAGGGGGCTGCAGCATCTCACGGACTGACGAGCCACAGACAGCAGGCGTGCGCCCCTAACTCCTTTCTGGGTGGTATGCGGCGGCGTAGTCGCCGTAACTAACCATGGTAAAGGTCTTGCTGAGGAACTGGTAATAATTCAGGGCTGGTTAACTTTCTCAACAACGCGCTCCCTCCGACGTGAGGAGGCGAACAACCTCCTTAAATCCACCCCGTAAAGGTGCTCAGCACCTTCAATTTCCATAGCAAGGAGAATCTGACGCAGGCGCAGCCGGTCCCGATCGCGGGCATGCGCATTAGGGGCCTCCGTAGGCTCCTCCGGCTCTGGTCTTGGCTCCATCTCCGCCTCCGCGCCCCGCCCCGCGCCTGCGCAGGGGCGTTTATCCCTTGGCGCTCTAGGCGCGGGCGATTTGTAAGCAATGGCGGGCGCTTGGTCGTCCAACTGTTGCAGAGGCTCATCTACCGGTTGTATGTGCTGCAACAAGGGCAAGCGGAACGACTCGTTGCTGTTGGGCAAGCGGCTCTCCGAAGATTCGAGCCGCCAACAGCTGCTGCAGAAGTGGGAGAGCATGTGGAGCTCTACAAGCGGGGACGCGTCGGAGGGCGACACAGAGAAGGAGCGGCTGGAGGAGGCAGCGGTGGCAGAGGAGAAGCCGCTGGTGTTTCTGTGCTCCGGCTGCCGGCGGCCGCTGGGCGACTCGTTGAGCTGGGTGACCAACCAGGAGGACACCAACTGCATCTTACTGCGCTGTCAGTTCGGGCCGGGAAAGGGGTGGGAGGGCGGAGAGGTTGGGGCCACTTTCTCTCTAGGTGTGTGAGACAGGGCGGCCCTAGGAAGGGAGGGCCCCTTGGGGCTGCCCACGGATTTTAAAAACAGAAAAATCTGAAAGTGTGAATTGTCTCAGTAAAGAAGGAGGAAAAGGGACACCCCTGCACTTGGGCTCACGAGTGACGCGTCCTTTTCAGGGGTCCTCCATCCCAGAAGAGCAGCAGTTGAATTGGCATCATTTGTGAGCATTAATAAGAAACAAATGACAATATTTTTTTTTGGAGACAGAGTCTCACTGTATCACCCTCCGTAGAGTGCCGCGGCGTCACAGCTCACAGAAACCTCATCTCTTGGGCTTAAAGCGATTCTCTTGCCTTAGCCACTCCAGTAGCTGGGACTACAGATGCCCGCCATAACGCCCGGCTATTTTTTGTTGCAGCTGTCATTGTTTAGCTGGCCTCAGCGGGGTTCGAACCTGCCAGCCTTGGTGTATGTGGCTGGCGCTGAGCCAATACTACTACTTTTTTTTTTTAAGGCCCTAAAACAAACACACAAAAGGAGCAAACGGCCAACTAGATTGTAAGCATTTGGGAATGTAGCCAGTACTATTAATTTCTACAGAAATTAGCAGGCTGTTAATTATCGAGTTACGTTATTAATGGTTTATTTAAGAAATTAAGCTTTCTATCTGCCTGCTTCCGGCAGGGGGATGTCAAGATTGATTTTTCGGGTCTTGCTGGTTCTGCCAGTGGATACCTTTAACAGTCTGGGTAACTTGCAATAAAAGCACCAACAGCCCCATCGAAACTGGAGAGGCAGGAGGACACAGTGAAAGAGTTAAGAAGACCGGAGTTCTAGCTTTTAATCCTGGTTCTCTAAGTTACCTCTGTTTCCCTACCATTCCCTCCTTTTATTGTTTTTGTTGTTATTTATTTAGGAGTAAAGTGTTTCTCATATATTCTTCTGCATTGCTGTAATAATGGCTGCTTCTGGATTGTGATTTTTAAAGTGCTCTGTTTGAATTCTGTAAATATTTTGATGGCAGAAATTCACCAGCTTACTGATATTGGTGGAATGTTTTCCTTCCTGGGTGTACTATTGGGAATGAAGTGGCTCACAAGTGTCCACGAGTGACACGGAACTTTCGGGGACCCACTGTTTTCCACAAGCATATATCAGTTCATGAACTACTATTGCTAAATCCTGTTACAGTAGTTACACAGAAACAAAGGGTGATGCATTGGCATTAACTCTTTGCACCTATTAAAATCAAACCCTGAGGAGGAGCATAAAAGTAAAAAGCACTTATCCCTTGGTCCACACACTGCCCTAGTCCCAGAATTGCACCTGCCTTGTTACTTAGTTACAGATGTGTTCCATGCACATATGAACGTATTTAAACATGTAACTATTCAAAAACACACTTGAGATTATATAGTTCATACAGTTAAGCAAGCTTTTTTTATTTCACATGTATGGAATGTTTTCCAGATTTAGTGTATGTAGGTATACTTCAGTTTTGTGGCAGCTTCTTGGTAAATCCTTGGTGAGATTGCCACTTAACTAGCTGTGAATCCTTTGGTAAGCTCTATGTGCCTCAGTTTTTTCCTCTGTAAAATGGGGATAACATTCACTTGGGATATTTGTGAGAATTAAATGCATTAGTGTGTCCTGTGATTTAGCAAGTGCCACTTAAGTGATTTCTCTAATGGGGGTGCTGTTGATTTGCCCAGTCTGTACCTGTTGATAGAGGCCTGGGTTCTTTCCCGTGTTGCCACCATCAGAACAGCATGTGTTTGGGTGAGATTGTCGATGCATTAGAAGTTATTTCTTTAAGTGAGTGCGTTTACTTTGCTTACAGCTTCTTAAGAAATGGCATGTTTGGTATTACGTCTTTCATTTTATTTGTGGTCTGTTTTTATAGCTTTTCTGTGTTTCGCCATGTGGGCTTTTTTCTTTGTTTTGCTTTACATATAGAAATACTATTAATTCTGTTATTTTTTATATCAGTTTTTAAATATTAAAAACCGTAAATATCTTGATTTGTTTCCTGTAGATAATCTGATGTAATGATTTAACACTCACTGCAAAGACAAATGACCTCTTGGATTCATTTTCATTCCTTCCTAACCCAGTTTGAGTTAGTTTAATTACTTTTACTTTGTCAGGGTTTATAACATTGACATTCTGTTTTGTAGCCCAAACATGGCCTTTAATGTAATGTTTCTAGGAATTTATTTCTTGATTTCAGTACTCTTATTAATATAAGAAAGGCTTTTTTTTTTTTTTTTTTGGTGGTGGTTTTTGGCCAGGGCTGGGTTTGAACCTGCCACCTCTGGCATATGGGGCTGGCGCCTTACTCCTTTGAGCCATAGGTGCCACCCTATAAGAAAGCCTCTTAAATAGCTTTCCCATTCTTAAATGTTCCCTCTCCCCATCCGCAAGAAAACAAGTTTGAGTGCTTAAAAATGTTTGCTTGTTTTTGAACATGAACGCCCGTGTAATTCTTGGGTCAGCTCTTTGCTTTTTCCAGGCACAGAGCAGTTGGTGCAAATGCCTTGAGGCTAGTGTAGTCAAAGAATAGAATAAAGATAAGATTTGGGAGGGAAGGAAAGGGGCTGGAAATTCCGGGCCTTCATAGCCTATTCTAAGGAATAGTGATCTCTTTAGTAAAAGGAGGGGAATGATACGACCTTAGTAGTCTTGGGATACAGCATTGAAGGAGGAGCAATTGTGGAAGTGGGGAGGTGAATGAGGAGCTAGTACTCTAGTCTGGGTAGGATGTGGTGCTGTGGTTTGGGGGCTGGAGTGAGGTTTGTGAGATAGAATTGACAAGACAAGTCCGTGGCATGGACATGGGGGAGCAAGGTGAACAGATGAAGAATCAAGGATGACATCCCAGTTTCTGCTGCCTCTGTCCAAGTCATGGTCCAAGTAAAAGATGCTTGGGTGGGATTCTGAGGACCCTCTCAATTACTTTTAGAGAAATGGGCTCTTGAGATCTGGAGATAACATATTCATTGGCTTTTGACATCTTCCATGGTTTTGATCCCAATTTCACTATCTGGCAGATAATCTTTGCAGCCTATGAATGAGGTTCTGATAGTTCCAAGTTTCACTATTTTTTTGAGACAGAGTCTCACTATGTCACCCTTGGTAGAGTGCTATGGCATCACAGCTCACAGCAACCTCCAACTCTTGGGCTTACGTGATTCTCTTGCCTCAGCCTCCCAAGTAGCTGGGACTATAGGTGCCCAAAACAACTCGGGGCTATATTTTGTTGCATTGTCATTGTTTAGCAGGTCCGGGTTGGGTTCGAACCTGCCAGCCTCAGGGCACGTGGCTGGCACCATAACCACTTTGGGCTCTTGTTTTTTCTGCTCCTCTGAATTCTAAAATAAAAGGTGGATTAGAAATTCTTTAAATTCCGCATGTATATTAGCAAACTACATTAATAAATAATTTTTACTTTCTCTCTTTCTAGCTGTTTCCTGTAATGTTTCTGTGGATAAGGAACAGAAGCTGTCTAAACGTGAAAAGGAAAACGGTTGGTGAGTAAGGCTTTATCTATGTGAATATGTACATGAGGGAGAATCTTTATTTTTCGAGTAAGATCCTTAAAAGATCATTACCAGTAAGATTACTTGGGATAAAACTGTTTTCATGATAATCAGTATAAAATCAGTCATTCACATATATCAATTCTTGAATGGTTGTGGTTGCTCTTAGATATTTCTCGGTTTCTAAAAGCACATTCTGATACTCCCATTTTGGGTCTTTGGGCTTGGTGCTGAAGAAAATAGAAAATAGGAATAGGAAAAGAAAATATCTGTATCCTAAAATCTCAAAGTCAAATGATACCTTAGACTCGTGGTCCCTTTGGCACCAAGAACTGGTTTCAGGGAAGATAATTTTTCCATAGGGTGGGGGAACACAATAGATTTTCATAAGGAGACCACAACCTCCATCCCTCCCATGTGTATACATAGTATCCAGTAGGTGTTGCCCTCCTATGAGAATCTAATGCCACCCCTGATCTGACAGCAGGTGGGGCTTGGGCTGTAATGAAAGCAATAGGAAGTGGCTGTAAATACAGGTGAAGTTCTGCTTGTTCCTAGCAGGCCACAACTAGTACTGGTCTTTGGCCCAGGAGTTGTGGACCTCAGCCTTAAAACCAGTGCTACCCACTTTTTTCATGTCATGGCACACATAAAATGCTAATGTAACACACATACACACAGCCTGTTGGGGTAAACAGACAAGGCTCTTGTGGTCAAAACCAAAGGACACAGGAGCTCCAGCAGTCCTAGGCCTTGTGTGGCCACTTTAGGGGTTGAGAGGATCTTGCTATGTTCATCACCACATGCTGCAGGTGGTATCTCAGGCCTTGCTTTTTATAATTGTAGCCCAAACAGGAAATGTATCTAACTGATGTATATGAAATAACTTTGGGTGGTACTCAAACAAGCCAGAATTAATAATTACATATATACTTTAATGCATATTCAAAATGCTGTTTTGGTTTTGTTTTTTTTTAATAAGATGCTGTTCTTGTAAAAAATATACTGTTTTTCATTTTTAGGAGTATAAGAGTATTTTATTCAAACAAAGTACATTTCAATTTCAAAGTTACTCTAGGCCCTCATGACTGAATCACCTCCCAAAGACCCCCCACTTCCTAATATCGTCACATTGGGGGCTAGGATTTCAACATATGAATTTAGGGGAGGGGATACAAACATTTAATACACAGAAATCCTTTTTTGTATGTATTAAAAAAGGATCCTAAAATCCTATTTTTTTTTTTTTTTTTGAGATAGTGCTGTGGCATCATAATTCACAGCAACCTCAAACTCTTAGGCTCAAGTGAGTGATCATCTTGCCTCAGCTTCCTGAGTAGCTGGGACTATAGGTACCTGGCACAATGCTTGGCTGGTTTTTTTTTAAGAGACAGGGTCTCACTTTTGCTCAGGCTGGTCTTGAACTCCGGAACTAAAGCAATCCACCCGCCTGGGCCCACCAGAGTGCTAGGATTACAGGTGTGAGCCACTGCACCAGCCTCTAAAGTCTTTTACATTTCTTTTCGAAATAGTCTCTGTCACCCAGGCTAGAGTACCATGGCCTCACTCTAGCTCGCAGTAATCTCAGACTCCTGGGCTCCAGGTATACTCTTGCTTAGCCTCTGGAATAGCTGGGACTATAGGCAAAGGCTACCGGGCCTGGCTAGTTTTTCTATTTTTAGTAGCTGTGGGATCTCACTTTGTTCAGGCTGGTCTCAAACTCCTGACTTCAAGTGATCCTTCTACCTTGACCTTCCAGAGTGCTAGGATTACAGGCAGGAGCCACCATGCCCGGCACCTTTTAATTTTTTGAATAATGGTTGATAAGAGCGTTTTTTGTTATATTTGGTCTTAATCCCTAGTCCATGACACAGGAGCTGCTAAGGCTGTTGGCATCTGCAGAGTGATTTTGGTAATTCAGGATAAAACCATCTTATCTGTTGATCGCTGTATTTAGGGAGTTCAAGCCTCAGGTTTCTCTTAAGTTTCCTTTCTTGGGTGATAACATTTATATTAGACTTTAGTTCACAATCTTGGTAATTATGTGATGTAGCCTAATAATGATTGAGGTTTGTGTAGTATAGGTGGAGTTTTGTAACCAAGATGCTTTTATATTTCTTATGTAAAAGTTTATGGAACCTTTTGGAGGTGGGACATAATTATAAGAGGGACTTTACCTAACAAATGCAATCAATGTAACCTGGTTCTTTGTACCCTCAATGAATCCCCAACAATAAAAACAATAAAAAATAAAATAAAAATTATTTGCAAAAAAAAAAGTTTACGGAAACTTATAAAAACACATAGAAACTTAGTATAGCATAACATATAGGTGATATATTAATATTAATATGTGATTAATATATCAGTGATATATTACCATATTTTGCCGTGTATAATACATACTTTTGCCCAAATTTTTGAGGGAAAAATTAGCAATGCACGTGATACATGAGTAGTACAAAATCTATATCTATAAAAATGTTTTTAATTCTTTTATTTATGCTTATGAGTTGATAACTCTAGAAAGCAATAACAGTATAATCCATATGCAAACTAATATCCTGGAATATGGATATTGGTTTTGTTGAACGTAAAAGAAAAGCTTTGTGTTTCTCTTCATATACTTTAGATGGCCGCTGGTAATCTAGGGGATATTTTTACAAAATTCCTTTACAATATAAAATACAAATACCTAAATGTAAACATAAAAATTAAAATTAAAAAGTTAAAGTGAAGATTTTTTTCCCTAAAGTTTGGGTCAAAAATTTGAGAGCCCATTATATACAACAAATATGGTACGTATGCCATAACCTTTTGTGGTGTGTATTTCAGTATTGTGATCACTACTAGATTTAAGTCTCCAATTGTTATCAATTTGCTATGCATTGGAACTGTAATTTTAGTATATTAATAGAATGATAAATCTGAACAGGTTCATTCAACAAGGCTTGGGGGAGATACTGGATTCTAAACCAGATTTAAAGAAGACATGAATAGGTGTGGGCGGGAATATACAGACACCTTGTGGTCTGCAAGCCTAAAATATTTGTTTTCTGGTTTGTTACCTTTAATTGCAAAAAAAACTGCCTCTCTGTGCTCTAGAATGTTAATGACCTTTGGTGGGCTCTTTGAACAACATGACATTAAAAGAACATACATAATAGATTCTTTTTGTCTTCTGAATTTTAGATAATTTTTCTTAATGTCAAATTGGGGTGCTTATAGTCAAGAAAAACACTACCTTAATGTCCTTTCTTTTTGTCACTCTCTTAGATGTCTCTTGTCCTTTATGCGTAATGCATTGTGACCTGGAGATGACTGTCCTTAACATTTGTCTTGTAAATATCTTACCCTCATTTTTTTCTATCTTATGTATATGACTCAGTAAGGTCAGAATAACATACTTGAGAAACTTAAGTGTTTGTGGATTTTAACAATAGCATTTTTGCTTTAACGAGTTGCTACTTTCTTTCCTCAAGTGACGACATTTCTTTATTGCAGCATTCTTGAGACTTTGTACTGTGCAGGGTGCTCACTAAACCTTGGCTACGTATATAGATGCACTCCCAGGGATCTTGACAGTAAGAGAGACTTGTTTTGCCTCAGTGTTGAAGCCATTGAAAGGTAAGTTTGAGCTATAAATGGTTCCCTAACAACTGATGTCTCTGAACTTTAAAGTTTGCATAAAAATTGGCATGAATTGATACAAGAGCATCAGAACTAAATCAACACTGGTTAAAAATACAGGGTATCCTAAAGGTCGCCATAAACAGGGAAAATTAACAAATACTGTGTTTTTATTTTAAATGTGTTTTATATTTATATATCAACATAGAGTAATATTTTGTAGAATTTTGTAATGAATATTTTGTTTTTGTTTTTTGAGACAGAGTGTTGTTGCCAAACTCTACTTTGTAGAGTTCCATGGGGTCGTAGCTCACAGCAACTTCAAACTCTGGAGGTCAAAGCAATTCTCTTGCTTCAGCCTCCCTGGTAGCTGTGAGTATAGGCACCCCCACAAGGTTTGGCTATTTTTTTTTGTAGAGACAGAGTCTTACTTTATCGCCCTTGGTAGAGTGCCATGGCATCACACAGCTCACAGCAACTTCCAACTCCTGGGCTTAGGCGATTCTCTTGCCTCAGCCTCCTGAGTAGCTGGGACTACAGGCGCCCGCCACAACGGCCTGGCTATTTTTTTGTTGCAGTTTGGCCGGGGCCAGGTTTGAACATGCCACCCTTGGTATATGGGGCCAGCACCTTACCCACTGAGCCACAGGTGCTGCCTGGTTTCGCTATTTTTTAGAGATAGGTTTTGCTTTTGCTCAGGCTGATCTCCATCTCCAGAGCTCTGGCAGTCTACCTGCCTCAGCCTCCCAGAGTGCTCAGACTGTAGGTGTGAGCCGCTGCGCCTGGCCTATAATGAATATTTTGTAAACAAAGGTTCATTTAGCTATAATTTCCCATTTTTCCTGTGTATGTATGTATGTATGGCAAACTTTAGGACACCCTGACAATAAAACTAGTGATTTTTTTTTTTTTTTGCCTTAACCTGAGTTATGTGGTATTGGAATAGTCAGACATTCTAAATTGTAGGAGAAAACACAAAGTTTTTTGGAGTAAAAATATGTTCAGTAATTTTTTAAAGTTAAATGTGGTTTAAAAGGATTATTTTAAAGCAATGGGGTAGATTAATATATAGTGTCTATTTTTCTTCTCCCAGCTTTTAGCCTCTTAGAATATCATGAAGAAATAGAAATTTCAGGCTGTCTCCATTTTCCATTTTCGGTGGCAGCCCATCTACTTACAGATGCTCTTGATAAATCTCTGCTACTAAAAAAAGAAAAGGAATAGAAATTTCAAAATGGGTAGGAACAAAGTCCCTTTGGTGTTCTGGAAAAGTAGAAATACAAAGTTCAACTAGTTCCTGTAGTAAAGAACTATCTGCTTTTGTTGAAAAATGCAAGAAAAACTCTTCATTCTCTAAGATTTCTAAAAAGTATTAGGAAACTGAATTATGGGCTGATGATAGACATCATTTAGAACATTTTAGACATCTTTTATTTTTGAGACAGAATCTTGCTATGTCGCCTAGGCTGGTGTACCGTGGCCTGGCATGATTGCAGCTCACTTAAGCGCAAGCAATCCTCTTGCCTCAGCTCTTTCCAAGTAGGTAGGATCATAGGCGTGCAGCACCACACCTGGCCAATTAAAACATGTTTTTGTAGAGATAGGGTCTCTACATTGCCAAGGCTGGTCTCGAACTCCTGGCCTCCATTCATCCTCCTGCCTTGGCCTTCCAAAGTGCTGGGATTACACACGTGAGCCTTTGCCCCAGATAGCTTAATGATTTTCCATTTCATTGGTTTTTAAAGAAAACAAAAAAATATCAGTTGCCTTCAGTGAATGTTCACTCATCCTGAAAAAGATAAAACCCTCAGTACTTCAGGGATGCCTAAGAAACCTTATGTATCAGGAAAGAAGGACAATTTAAGAAGGAAAGAAAATGCCTAGACTTCATTATGTAAACTATTTTATCACTCCTGTTGAGTAGCTTAGATTTTTCTCTTTAAAAAATTTAGAACACTATTGTTTTTATTATTCTAATTATTTGTTGATCTAATTGTTCCTTGATAACTGTAGCTCTGCCCCCTTTTTGGAAACTAGACAAGTTTAGAGTAAAAAGAAAAAAATTCTTTTTTGAGACAGAGTTTTGCTCTGCCAGTCCAGGTAGTTAGAGTGCAGTGGTGTGATCATAGTTCACAGCAACCTCAAACTCTTGGGTTCAGGTGATCCTCCTACCTTAGCCTCCCCAGTAGCTGATACAATAGACGTGTGACATCACAATCAGCTAATTATTTCTATATCTTGTAGAGATGGGGTCTCACTCTTGGTCAGGCTAGTCTCAAATTATTATTATTATTTTTTGAGACAGAGCTACAAGCTGTCCCCCTGGGTAGAGAGCCGTGGCATCACAGCTCACAGCAACTCACAGCTCACAGCAACCTCCAACTCCTGGGCTCAAGCGAGTCTCCTGCCTCTGCCTCCCAAGTAGCTGGGACCACAGGTGCCTGGCTATTTTTTTTTTTTGTTGCAGCCATCATTGTTGTTTGGCAGGCCCGGGCTGGATTCGAACCTACCACCTTAGGTGTATGTGGCTGGTGCCTTAGCCACTTGAGCCACAGGCGCCGAGCCTGGTCTCAAATTCTTGACTTGAAGCAGTGCTCCTGCCTTGGCTTCCCAAAGTGCTAGAATTACTGGTGTGAGCCACTGCGCCTGGCCTAGATCAAAACTTTATAATCTAGGGCGGCACCCTGTGGCTCAGAGGAGTAGGGCGCCAGCCCCATATACCAGAGGTGGTAGGTTCAAACCCAGCCCTGGACAAAAACTGTGAAAAAAAAAAAAGGAAAAAGTACTTTATAATCTATAAACTTTTTATAATCTTTACATGAAAGGATAATATAACAAGTACCACTCCTTGTTACGAAGTGTGTAGGTCTGGAGAGATGTTCTATTTTGGTCTTAATATATGCATGGAAGACCCAGGTTCAAACAAATGCTCTGTTAGTCTCCGTGAGGATTTTACCAAAGTTTGTGGAAATTAAATACGAGAGAAGATAACTATAAACAACATGAAATCTTAACCAGTAGAGTTGGTACAAAACTTTTAAAAGTGATATCATTTGTATAAAAGAAAACTTATGAGGGTTTTTTGCCCAAGGATCATAGTATTGAAGCTATTTTTCTCTGAAAAGTTGAATTTAGGGTAGAAGTTGCCTCTTGGAGCAGGATTTTAATGCCAGGAAATCTGGTTTTGTTTTAAAAGTGTATGCCTTCTGTAATCTTTATTTACAGTTTTATAAATTACTCAATGCCATTTAATTTTTACCCCTCATCTCTCTTTCTCTTTTTTCTAAATGGGACATTAATTGCCTTCTGCAGGTTTGCCTAGCATGCTAGGGATACAATCAGTAGGGTTTCCAAAGGAAGATTGCTCTTACTCAACAAAAGAAGTGACATACAGTCTGGGCACGTGGTTCATGCACTCTGGGAGGCTGAGGCTGGAGGATCCCTTCAGCTCAGGAGATTGAGACCAACCTAAGCAAGACTGAGACCCTGTCTCCACTAAAAAATAGAAAAACTAGATGGGCATTGTAGGCAGTGGGGTGGGGAGAGCGTGCGCACCTGTAGTCCCAGTGACTTGGGAGGCTCAGGCAGGAGGATTGTTTAAACCCAAGAGTTTGAGGTTGTTGTGAGCTGTGGTGATGCCATGGCATTCCAGCCTGGGAGACAGAGTGAGACTGTGTCTTAAGGGAAAAAAAGTCAAATTTGAATACACATTTCCAGAAGGAAGCAAGAAAGCAATGGCTTCTTCAGGGTCATGGCTTCTGCAAGATCTTTAAACTTGACCTTAGAATTTTGAACTGTGAATGAAAATGTTTTGCCACCTAGCTTACTAAGGAGCAAGTTTATTCCAATGAAATACTTAAAGATTATGTAATATGTAGAAATACTTGGGCAGAGCTGTTAAGGAGGAAGACATGATTTTATATAATATTTGTATAGTTTCCTGAGCAGGTTGCTATTAGCAAGAATGGGGGTTTTATTTGTTTACTTGTTACTAACCTATAATGTAACATACTTAGAGTTTTAATATTATTAATTGACATAAATTTAATATTTCCTTTTCATATTTTAACTTTATATTTGTTGGAAATGGGTATCTCAGTATGTTGCCTTGGTTGGTCTTGACCCCTGGGCTCTAGCAGTCTTCCTGCCACTGCCTCCCAAGTGGCTGGGATACCATGTTCAGTTCATATTTTAACTCTGTACTGTATTTTAGTTATATTTTAGGGTCCGCTGAAAAGCAGATTGTGTCAGAAGATAAAGAACTTTTTAATCTTGAAAGCAGAGTTGAAATAGAAAAGTCTTTAAAACAGGTAATTTTATTCTGTACCTTTTATATCTTTGTATGAATGACTTCTTGCCAGTGAACGAGGCGTCTTCCACAAACAATAATTCTTTTATTTACTTATTTTTTAATTTGAGACAGAGTCTCAGTATGTCGCCCTTGGTAGAGTGCTGTGGCATCTCAGCTAACAGCAACCTCAAACTTTTGGGCTTAAGCAATTCTTTTGCCTCAGCCTCCCAAGTAGCTGGGACTACAGGTGCCCGCCACAATGCCTGGCTATTTTTTTGTTGCAGTTGTTCTTGTTTGTTTAGCTGTCCTGGGCTGGGTTCAAACCCACTACCCTTGGTGCATGTGGCTGGCACTGTAACCATGGTGCTACGGGTGCCGAGCCACAATGATTCTTGTAATGTCATCTGTTTTGATCTTAGCATTTTTACAGTAAGAGAGTGCTTATTTTATTTCAATTGTCAATAAAGTTGATTTTGAGGGGACCTAAACTATAAATTTAGCTATAGCTTTATCAACAAAATAATAAGGAAAACATTGCATGCCAAAATCAGAACAATCTATGTTCTGAAACTGTTAAACTAGAAATATCTCTTTGGCTCCAATCAGTATTTTATTTCATTCAGTTCTGTGGCATAAACAGACTTACTGTTGAGTGTTAGTGTCTTCTCATGGCGAACTGGGCTTGGGCAAAGTGGGAATGAGTGTGCAGAGGAGCCATAGGTTGGTTACAGGTCAAGAACTACTGAATTAGGTTTTGTTTAATAAAATTTAGTTCAGGCTTCAAGATAGTTATGTAACACACACTGAATATGTTCTATGCCTTACATTCAAAATTGCATTAACAGTGTATATTTTCATGTTTAAGCATGTGTAATTTTTAATCATATTCATATATATTTTTTTAATTCAACAGATGGAAGATGTCTTGAAAGCATTACACATGAAGCTGTGGGAAGTTGAATCAAAACTGTCCTTTGCCGGTTCTAAAAGCTAAACTACTCTCTCTGTCCCTTGTCCTGCCCTGTCCTTCTTCCCCTTATATGTTAAATGAGAATTGTAGAATTACTGTTACAGCTGTATTTTATGGTAAAGAGGTGATTGTTTCCCAAATTCCAATTTTAAAGTCATATGATGGTACTTGATAGGATTGGAATTTAGGGGTTTCTATTTTGATAAGAAATTGGGGTAATTTTCTGAACTGTTTTCTCCTTTGTGTCAAATTCATTATTCTTCATTTCCTATTTTTTTCAAACTTTATTTCTTTCACCTTTAATACTTGGGACAATATTTAACATGAACGATAAAATCTTAACACGTTGTAAGACTTTTATAGTGTGCATGTTTATTTTTATAATCAGGAATGGAATAAAGATAAAACAAAGTACTTTAAGATTGATTTTTGCAGACTGAATGGTGACATTTTACTGATTTCAAAAATCCTGGTATCATGAAATACGGATGTTACCTGATGACCTTTTTCCATAATCAAAAGACCACCCACATGATTGAGTCCTGAGACTATTAACTATTTATTTCATTCTGTCAACACACACCCTAAAATCTTAAATAAAAGCCTCCCAAGAATTCTAATCAGGGCAGCACCTATCCGCCTCGCTACAGGCTAATATGGTGTTATCTGTCGGGGTCTCAGCAGAGTTTTTGACAAAAACACTGCAGTGTTAAATTCTGGGTGCCATTTTCCTCTCTACCTCCGGACCCCAGGTGGTCAGGAAAGCACCCTTTGGGGGAATTCTCAGTCCCGAGTGTTTCGGCTCCTTTTTGGGCTAGAACAGAAGTAGAGTATGGTGCTGTGAAAGTAAGTGTCAACACCCACTGGCAACAAGACCATCATCCTGCCTTGGTAAGTGTGAGGAAACCTCAGGGCCTCTTAGCTGCTTGCTGATACCTCATGGCAAAATTCATTCAGAACAAATTGGAGAGTGTTTCAGCCATAAGATTTAGCTAACTGCTTACTCAGGTTAAAGCATACACCAGCACTCATCTTCTGGTACCATTCCAAAGCTATAGGCACTTTGCTCCCTGATTCCTTATACTCACTGTTCATAGTAGGGTAGGAGATATTTGTACAATTATTTGTACTATATATTTGTACAATTCAATGTATCTTGAAAACCGATTTCACCAATGAAAAGTAAGTTCTAATGCTTATTAACTAGGTTGTGAATCAAAAGGTAAGTGTAGCTCTAATGCTGTGGTGGCTACCTTTAGAGTGGCCCTCGATTACCTTTCTATCCTTGCATTTGCATTCCTGGTTAGGGGACTTAAGAAGACATCTGGCTCAGCGCTCATAGCTCAGTGGTTACGGTGCCAGCCACATGCACTGGGGCTGCTAACCAACAATGACAACCATAACAAAAAAATAACTGGGTGTTGTGGTGGGTGCCTTGGGAGGCTGAGGCAAGAGAATCACTTAAGCCCAAGAGTTTGAGGTTGCTGTGGGCTGTGACACCACGGCACTCGACTGAGGGTGATACAGACTACTAAAAAGAAAGAAAAAAAAACCCACCACCCCTGGGTTGTAGACAGAAACCAGCAAGTGTTCGCATCACACGGCTTCCACTGAAGCACCTGACGGCCCTGGGAAACACTGACTCTCATAAGAAAGTCCTCATCCTTAGCCCCTGCCAGTGCTGTTCCTAAGGAGTGGCCTTGTCACCACAGTATGTGAGGGATCCCCAAGGCTCTGAAACTGCTCCCCCACTGTGAGGGCTCTAGGTAAGACTGCATTGTTTTGTGCCTCTGACGATACAGGAGAGAAGCCATCCCCTGTGGGGCCATCTGTTTCGCTGACACCTGGTGGCTTTTCTTGCTTTGCATGAGGCCTTGTCATATGCCGGGGTGGTTTTTGTTTTTCATCTGGTCCTATGTACCTACTACTTGAGGCAACAAGTTCTTACTTTGTACCTTGTAAGTGAAAAACATGATGCACTGTCTTTCCTGATGAATGAGCTCTGGGCATGCTGTCTGTGAGCAGGAAGGAGGGTCCCGGAGCAGGGCCAGAAACCAGTCCAGATCACACAAGACCCACAAAGGCTTCAGACAGAATCTGCCCAGAAATTTTTCCTTTAGCCATTCCCGTAAAGGGTACTTCCTAGTTCCTTAGGGAGAAGCTATGGAAACTGATACCAGAAGCTGTTATGTGGCCTCTAAATAGGTGTGTGCAGAACACTACATGGTTTTCATCCCACAAGACGGTTCTGTTGTTCTCAGCAAATTGTCCAGTCCGGTTCATCATTTCCAAACTGAAGAGTTCTCTCCACAGACATCACTTTGTGTGGCGTTGATGCCTGGGCAGAGTGTGCCCTGCCTGGATGATTCTAGTCTAGCTTGGGGTATTTAAAATGGGCAAGACCAAGAGGTGACCCTTTGTAGAATTGGGTCTAGGTGTTCAGTATGAACTTCTTGAGCCATGAGTGAAGCTTCTCTCTGTTTTCAAGGGAAGGTCTCAGGGGCAGTGCTCAAAAAAAAAAAAAAAACCAATAAAAACATCACACATTTAAATGACAGGCCAGGTGCGGTGGCTCATGCCTATAATCCTAGCACTGGGAGGCCAAGGTGGGAGGATTGCTTGAGCTCGGGAGTTGGAGACCAGCCTGAGCAAGAGCCAGATACCATAGCTTCTAAAAATAGAAAAATTAGCTGCACACCTATAGTCCTACCTGCTTGGGAGGCTGAGGCAGGAGGATGGCTTGAGCCCTCTAGCCATAGTGACAGTGAGACTGCCTCAAACAAAACAAACAAAGATTTTGCCTTATTTAAATAGAGTTGATCTGATTTGATCTAGCCAGTCTACCTATAAAATTCTTAGGACATAAAAGAATATGAAATGCTGTATTTTTTTCTTTTAAAAATATATAATGTTGGGTGGCGCCTGTGGCTCAAGGAGTAGGGCGCCGGCCCTATATACTGGAGGTGGCAGGTTCAAACCTGGCCCTGGCCAGAAACTGCAAACAAAAACATATATGTATATAATGTTTATTGGATTTTTTTCTAGTTAAAAGCATAACATACTGTGGAAAATTGGGGGGTATACACATTTTGGGGTATATGGTAGTCACTTTTAAATGGAAATTGGGGATCATACTGAGTACACTGCACTTAGAGTATTTCCTAAATGTATTTCTGCATCATTAAATATTCTTTTACAACCTGAGTTGACTACCTTGGATGAGACACTATATTATTTTAAAACTTGTTTAAATGTGATCATAGCCTAAAATTTACATTTTTTAGTGGTTTAACAATTGAGTTTTCTCACTAGATAAAAGGGCATGAAATAAATCTCATACCAGTCACCTCTTTGTCTAGCTCTGATGACGTGCAGAAGCCAGCTTTTGAGAGCAAGAATTATATGAGCGGTTCATTAAGGCATTGGTAGCTTGCAATTGGTCAGGGTGAGGGTGTTTACACTAGAGAAATCAGCAAGTGCTAACACGGTCAGGGCTGTCCCCTGCCCCAGCTGGCTTCCTAGCACATGCCTGTGTATTCTGAATCTCTTTCTGTAATGTTTGATTTAAAATGTAAAAGAAAGGAGAAAGTGGTTTCTAACACTCCCAAGACCGTGTCCTAACATCTTTTCATTTAATAAGTCTAAGGTGAAACGCTGTGTCGTAAGACCGTAGGGCTTACAGTCACATTCTTCACCTCTCCTGGAGAAAAAGCAAAATACCCTCCAAGTGAAAGACTTAAAATGTTATGAAAATAGTGGGTGTTACACGCATCTATTCTGTTCTTCCTGTATCTGATAACTGGCAGCTGCTTGCCTGTGAACAAGCAGGGACTGTTGGCTTGTAATCACTTTTGAACTTAGGGAGTGTAATTCATTCTTTGATCTAACCCAGACACGTTTTGGGAGCTGATCCTTACTTTTTTCTAGTGAGAGCTGAGTTCTGTGTGTAGGCAAATTCATAATTTAGGCAGCTGATCACGAGGGTGTGACTGCAGTGGTTTCTCTGGGATGTTCACATTTGTCTAATCCTTGTGTTAAACTAAAGGCAGGGTGATCTGAGGAAGTGGTGTGCTGGGGCCCAAGG